CGCAGACTTGCTTCTCCACAAATCTGACCTGTCAGCTGACTTGGCAGAAGCGCTTGCTTACTTTCATGAAGATAGACATGTTTAATGACGTACGTCTTGTGGACCGTCCCCCTCTACTGTACGTCGTGAGGACCGCCCCTCTCTCCCGTATGTCGTGAGGACCGTCCCCCTCGCCCTTATGTCTCGTGGACCGCCCCCCTTTCCTGTACATCTTGTGAACCGTCCCCCTATACTGTTCATCGCGAGGACCGTCCCCCTCTCCCGTATGATGCGCGGACTGTCCCCCTCTCCCATACATCGTGTGGACCGTCCCCCTCTCCCGTACGTCATGTGGACTGTCCCCTCTCCCGTACGTCATGTGGACGTCCCCCTCTCCCGTACGTCATGTGGACCCCCCCCTCTCCCGTACGTCATGTGGACCGTCCCCTCTCCCGTACCGTCATGTGGACCGTCCCCGCATGGACCGTCCCCCTTTCCCGTACGTCATGTGGACCGTCCCCCTCTCCCGTACGTCATGTGGACCGTCCCCCTCTCCCGTACGTCATGTGGACCGTCCCCCTCTCCCGTACGTCATGTGGACCGTCCCCCTCTCCCGTACGTCGCGAGATCCGTCCTCCTCTCTTGTACATCGCGAGGTCCGTGCCCCTCTCCTGTACGTTGCATGGACCGTCCCCTCCTCCCGTACGTCGCGAGGTCCGTGCCCCTCTCCCGTATGTCACAAGGTCCGTCCCCCTCTCCCGTATGTCGCGAGGTCCGTCCCCCTCTCTCATACGTCGTGCAGACCATCCCTCTCTCCCGTACATCGTATGGACCGTCCCCTCCTCCCATACGTTGTGCAGACCGCCTCCCTTTCCTGTACGTCGTGCGGACCTTCCCCCTGTCCCATACATCGCACGGACCATCCCCCACTCCCATACGTCTCACAGACCGTCCCCTTCTCCCGCACGTCACGTGGACTGTCCCCTCCTCCCGTACATCGTGTGGACCGTCCCCCTCTCTCGTACATCACGTGGACCGGTCCCTCCTGTCGTATGTCGCAGGGACCGTCCCCTCCTCCCTAAACCAGGACTAAAACAGGTCCATGGCGCAGTTCGACAGTGGTTGGGGACCACTGTCGAACTGTTTAAATGGCTTATATTGCACTGTTTTCTGATCTATGTTATAATGTTGTTTCCTCATCGCAAACACACCACTTGAATTATTTGGATAATTTCAGCCTTTTCAGAATTTTGATGAGATGAGATGACAGACTAATACTAAATGATTACTCGCACATGTGTGAATGAAACAAAATACAACTCCTGGTATGTTTTTAGGAGGAAACAACATTCTAACGGTTTAAAGCTCACAAGAGTCAATCTAAGTATGATGACTATATTGAGTTTGTAGCTAGAATATATATTTTTCAATCCTTGTATTGTATGTGCCTTTTAGCATCCACTGCTTTATGAAGTAGAGGATCAAAGCCCCCCTGCTGTGTGCCCTATAGACTAATTTAATGCAGATTCTACCAAACAAGTGGCGACCTGCATTTCATCTTCCCCATATGGTCACCCTTATATCCCCGCTCCAGTCGTATGAGTGAAGAAGCCATGTCCGCTCACACATTTGAATTCTATTATAAAGTTGTAAAAGTAGACAGTGATGTTCCACAGGAGATTTTGAGGAGAGGAAATGGTCTTTTTCAGGGTGTATTTGTGCATGATATGACACAGAAAACAGTACATGAGCTACTGCTGTGTTTTTATGCTTTGGTTTTGGCTCGTTCCAAGATAAGACCGGAACTAGCTACGTAAAGTGTTCAAGAGATGTGCTTCCTATAACAAAATCTACAGACAAGGACACAAACTTCCCATGACATGTTTTATTTAAAAGTTCTATAGTGTGCAAAGTAAACTCTTCTGAACTTTAAGGCATAATATATAGTGTTGTTACCTCCTCAAAACATACCTGGAGTTGTGTTTTGTTTCATTCACACATGTTTGAGTAATCCTTTATTATTAGTTTGTGTATATCTCCAAAGCACTTCCAATTTATGATGTCATGAAGCAGCTGCCTTTTAGCTTTTGTTCAGTATAGATTGGCAGTTTCAGGTCTGATATTATCCAAATGATTCTAGTGAAGATGTATGGCAGGGGTCACCAAAGTTTTTTTCTCTGGGGGCCACATTATCGCTCCCAACTGTGATCGGGAGCCGGGGTTGGGTAGACTATATACCTGTAACAGAACTGTATGACCCTGACAGCGCAGATGATATTCTTTGAAAACTGCCACACTTTCTTTACATATCAGACAAACTGCATGGTCCTTACACTGAACAAAAAAATAATTGGTCGTGTACTGTTCTTTGAAAACTCGGCACTCTCTGTCAACTTTTCGTACTTTAACACTCGCCATTTTCTGAGCGTGCGTTGACTGTCACTGTTTGATCTACTTCATAAAATCAACAAAATACAAGATGCAAATGTGTTATTATTTGCAAAAAGTAATTTAAGAAATAGACCATGACAACTTTTGAAGATTGCTTCATAGGGCCAGTTCAAGTGGTGGTTCAGAGGGGCTGGGGGGGAGCCGGTCAAAGGGGTATGTCACCTAGCGGGCTTTAATTTGATGACTCCTGATGTATGAAGTTTAAAAACATAGTAGAGCACTTCCTGGATTACCACATGCCATCACAAGTGTTTTCTGTTTAAGAGAAGAACTCAGCCTAAATATGCAGGATGTGTATGTTAAAAATGTGTGAATGAAACACAACTCCAGATATGTTTGTGATGAGGAAACAACATTATAACAGAGATCAGAAAAAAAGAGGAATATGGGTCCTTGTGAAAAGCATATGCATTTTACATTTCTTCAAGTTCAAATTCAGGCACTTCTTGTATGTTTTATTGATAGTATCCATGAATTTGAGCAACACTTGGTTTCCCAAGCAAAATCCAATATTTTTGAGGGTCTCAGCTGAAAATAAACCCCAAACCTGGATATTATAACTGTGGAAAAGCTGCTGCTCCTGACCTGACTGATTGCTACATTGACCTCACGGGGTTACCAAGGAAATCCAATGAATATTTTATCTGAAACAGAGCTAGTGTTGTGTTTAGTTTTGTTTACCTGTTTGAATAATCCTTCTCCAGGGAAGAGTTTAAAATGCTTGTTCTCACCTACTCCTGCAAGCAATCATATATTTCCATTTATTTTATTGTCATTGTTAAATGTGCATGAGATACTCAGCAGGTGGGCTGAGTGTGTTGTTTCAGTATACGTCCCTCTTGAAAAAAGTTTTGGACACCCCTTCGCATTGACAAATAGTTTTGCTAGTCTATGATTTATGCTTGAATTGACAGAGGTTTGTGAGTGAACATTGTATTTTTTTATATTGATTATTATCTTAAATGTCCAATATTAAGCAAAGAGTCTTGTAAGATTTAAACCATATTATAATGCTGTTACCTCATCAAAAACATACCTGGAGTTGTATTTAGTTATATTCACACATGTTTGGGTACTGTAATTTCCGGACTATAAGCCACTACTTTATTCTCACACTTTGAACCCTGCAGTTTATACAACAATGCAGCTAATATATGGACGGATTCTTTGTGTGGCAACTATAGACTGTATACATTCTTTTAAACAGTCTGTGTTGGCAACACAGCAGATACGCACAGCCTGAGTGCAGAAAGTGCTGCTGGATCTAGGGTTAACATGAAGTTGCAATGTTAGATGGCAGTGTTGTCAGCACACTAAAATAGTTTATTGCTGTGTCATAAAATAAGTTATTATGCTAAATTAACATTAGTTAATTGAGTGTGCGTTATATGCAGGTGAGTACGTAAATGACAAGAAGAAACATCTCAAACTACAGTAGTCGAACATCCACTCACACCTGATCGACACAAATAGGCCAGCTCCCCTGTGAAAGCCTGAAATCTGCTGAAATCTTTTCAGATACTGACATGAGACCAGACAGGACAGCGGCTCTTCTGCAGGAGTCATGCGCTGTAAAGCCCGGGGAGAGACGGACGGGGGTGATGCGCCGAGGAAAATGCTTATTTGATTGAGTTTTGAACTGTTATTTTGTGCTTCATGCACACACCCTCGACCCTCCTCATGTAAAACACATGAAGAAATGCAGATGATGCAGCGCTTAAGTTGACGGCAATTGATGTGGCTGTTGAAGAAGGAAATGAGTCTTTGGTGACAGCAGCGTGACGAACTGACAATGCAAAAAGATGACAAAAGCTTTCTGAGACAGTAAAAGCAGATGGCCCCAACTTGAAAACATTCTTGAAGACGTGGACACCTGCAGCTTATATTTAGGTGCAGCTTCTATATGTACAATTTTAAACTTTAGTCAAATTTAGTTGATGCTGCTTATATTCAGGTGCACTCAATAGCCCGGAAATAACAATAATCCTTTATTATTAGTCTTGTCTACATCTCCAAAGCTCAACTGCTCTGTTCCACCTTGTGATGTCATGAAGCAGTAGTTTTCAAGTTAACCATCTTTTTACTTTTTGTTCGGTTGAGAATTCCAGGGCTGAAATCATTCAAATGATTCTAGTAACGGCGTATGGAGTTTAAAAACACCGTAGAACTGTGTTTTCTGTTTGAGTTGTGTGTTAAATATGTGTGAATGAACCAAAACACAACTCCACTACATTTGTGATGAGGAAACAACATTATAACAAAAATCAGAAATAGCATAATATGGGAACTTTAAATTACTGCATTTATTTGAGTTACATTTTTATCTATACTCTGCTTTAGATAAGAGCTGTGTTTGATAGACTGTTGAGGGCCCGCTTAACCGTGCCAACTAATTATACTAAACGCCAACTATATTTAAGAGTGTCTTTATTTTGATGCCTGTCTCTTTAATAAAACTACATTTTTAAGATTGTGGCTAAGCGCAGATACACCTGTAATCACATAAACTGCCTGTTGCCGTGTAATATTGACAGATTAATTAAGCGGTTTGGTTGTGTCTGTCTTTTCAGGATGGAGTCCACAGAGAAATGTGAAGTAGTGATACAGCATTTCAATGGAAAGTACCTGAAAACCCCACCAGGCATTCCAGGTAAGGCTCTGCTCTTGTTTTACATTAAATCAGCCTGCTTTTCTTATCTACCCTTATAGCTGCTATCTGGGAAAACTACCCCGTGCAACCAGGGACCCCCTTTTCTAATTCAATTATGGAAATTTCTCATCTCAGATTTGCTGGACAGGTTGATAGATTGTGTACACTGTGGGTTCTGACACCTCTCTCTCGGCAGTAGCAGTGATGGTGGCTATAGCCCGGGGTCTTAAAACCTACATTCTTTGCTTTTACTGCTGCCGGCTCGGACTCCTTAATATTCACACTCATGCCCTGATGCTGTTCTTTGCAATCTACTTAAGAGCTTGCACCCTTGCCTCCTTCCTCCTTCCTCCTTTTCGTCTTTCCTACGTCCTAGCTCCTATCTGCACTTAACCCAGACAGTAGCAAAGCCAGGCCAAGGAGAGCACCGAGCGTTGGAGCAGTTAGCCAAAAGGAAGGATGTTAAAATGGAGACAGAACTGCCAAGGATTTTTCTAAAAGTTAGCTCCAACTTTCAAATGGGAAAAACAGAAGAGCCTCAGAGGGAATATGAGTGACGAGAGGTGGTAGATCAAGAAGTGTGGGGTTAAGGATTTGAGAGAGAGGCCAGGATGAAGACGGAAAAGTGCTGCTTTAGCACATCTGGGAGTGGGGTGTTCAAAGCCCCCCAAGCTCCCAGCAGGACGCCCGGGCCAGACGGAGCAATACTACCGAGATCTCCGTCACCCCCGGGGCCATTTTATTAACACTAGCCACACTTTCATACGGCAGCTGCCTGTAAATGACTCGCTTCTATCCCCAAATATCTGAGACTGTCTAGGTTTAAGATCTCCATATATGCTCCACCACTGCATCGCCAGCGGCCGTTAAAGGCAAGGTGAGCGCTTATATTGAAGTTGAGCCGTAATAGGAAACCTTTAAATCTGTAATATCAGGCTGACCTTCCCCTTTAAGGCTCAGTCTCGCAGCTCCTCGGGCTTTATAATAGTTAATGGATAGTTCAGACGTGTGCCAGGCCTCACGTTTATGGCATCAGATTGAGGAAACTGTAAAGTGAGATTAAAAACAGTTACTAGGTCCTATTGTGGTCCCTTTAAATGGCTCATGACATGTTCACCACTCCTGTTGGCCTTTAAGCTTTTGCTGTTAAGGCTTACTACATTCTGTGTGTGGAAACAAGAACTGCTGGTTTAGAGTTTCCCTGCGATTCTTTCAGTAAATTAAAAACATGATTTCTGTAGACATGCTGGAATAATCTTTGTTTTTATTCCTTGTAAATTGGATTACTCATCATGAAATAGCAAAGCAATAACAAAAACACACTTATGAAAGCAATGAACAGTGAGTTAATTATGTTCTTAATTAAAACAAGCAACTGTTCTACTTTTGATAGTTAAAACAGATGCTCTAATTAATATCATCCACAATCTTTTGACCCTTCTCTGGTATGATTCCATGGCTGTATTGGAGGTGTCGGACACTGTGTAAATGTGTAAACAGCCTTGTGCATGTGAATGTGTGTTACTCTGCACATGTGTTGTGTGTGTGTGTGTGTGTGTCAGGCTACACATGTGCATGCCTGTGTGTGTGTGTGTGCGTGCGCTGGTGTGTGTCAGGCTACACATGTGCATGCCTGTGTGTGTGTGTGCATGCGCTGGTGTGTGTCAGGCTACACATGTGTTATTCATGAGCTCTTATGGATAAAGCCTCGCCGTCATGTCACAGACATCTCCTGTCTCCATCACGACGAGGGACATGTTTCTGTGGACTGGCAGTTAAATGGAGATGAACGTCCCACCTCACATGTTCCTGTAGATGTTCTTCTCTTCATATATGTGAACTCATGTCTGAATAATACACTTCCCATTATCTGTTTGTTGGTGCATGGTTTGCATGTAAGTGTGTGTGTTTTAAAAGCCATTGAAGCCTGTATTGTGTCATGTTGGTGGTATTTCCCCAGAGCCCCTTGCTATGTGGGCAGCTTCTTCATCCATCCTGCTCTGACAGCTCAGCGGCTCCCCCCGGGGGCCGTGCCACACACAGCGCCGGTGTGCAGGCGCGTGCACGTGTACGGCTCAGTGTGGGCACGTGCACGCTCGTGGATACGCTTGTTTGACAGCCATGTCGACTACACTGTGAGCGCCCTGACACCACCACAGCACGCACAGACACACAAGCACAAATATAGTCACGCACCGCTAACTTTGACCTGAGAGGAATGTCAACAGCCTCTGATGCTAATGAGATCCCTTTTCCTGTCATTTAGAGTTCAGAGCGGGAGCGGCTCACACGCTGCTGCGTTTACCACACATACTCCCCATCCTGTCCTTCTGACCCTGATATTTGGATGCCCATTGCAGACTTCGATCATATCTCAGGCTATGTTTGGCTCAAGATGCATACATGAAATATTGATCTTTTGATAAGACTTCTCGTGTGTCATCCGCATCAACATTCAACAGAAATGTCATCGACTAAATCCCATCTCTGAGCGGTAGCCTGGGCTCACACAGGCGCAGTCTGTCTGGACTATGGGGACGACTCTTGTTAGCTCTGCCCTCCGGTACACACTGGCTCCAGTGGCTACACAAAAGGATATTGAGCTGTAACCTCTGCGTCCCATCACCAGGAAGTAAATATGTGAATGTCAGGTGCAGGTCATCTGTGAAACCCAGCTGACCGTGGGAACGGAGCAGAGGCTGCACTATTGGCAGGAAGTGAAAAGTGAATAGCAGATAAGACGTGCATGTGTGCGTTTGGGTGGGCGGAGCTGAGATGCAAACAGATGGCAGCTAATAGAAGCATAGACAGGCACCATACACTTCCTGTTCAAATGGTATTGTGCTAACATCTCACTTCCTTGTGATTACATGAGAGGGTGAGCTGAGCCTGGAGCAGATGGTGGCTAACGATACTTAAAGACTCACCATGTTTGTACTGTATGGCTACAATTAAATCATATGCAATTACAAGTTAATAAAATTAGCCAGCTGCAGAAATTGATTTTGGTTCAGTTTGAGAAATAAATGAATGCAGAGGCGCTGTAAATAATTCCTGTACTGTATTCATAAAAACATTAAAAACAGACCGGTTAATTTGAACTAGAGGTCTAGTGGTTACGGTGGTCCAAACGTATTCCTCACTTTCTTAATGCATTCCTTGCATCCTAATTATCAGTTTCAAGTTTCAAGGTGCTTTTTCACAACTTGCAGAGTTTAGAGTGGAGTTTTCAGGCACGCAACTGCTAACAATACTAGCATAGTATCTATGCATCAGAGTTACTTCCTGAGCATACAAATTACTGAATGTCTGTTGTGATGGTCAGTTAAAACCCTGTAGCTGTGGCGTTTCATTGTGAGTGCCCAGTTAAATGTACATGCTCTTTTATTAAAAGCGCTGTTACAGTGTATTATTCAGTCACTCCACAGGCAGTAGTACATAGTCCTGGTTGGACATATACATTTCTGGGAGCAGACTGGCAGCTGGATCAGTCCAAAAGGGAGAAAGGGTCTGTTGTCCTGGGCCCCAGGGTTTTAGGGGCCCTGAATTGGACCCACTTCCTATGAATTTATATTAGAGGGGCGCCCATGTGAGGTTTCTTGCTCCAGGTCCCCACATTTCTGTCGACTGTTCTGCTAGGTAATGTGGGTGAAGTGTCTTGCCTAAGGACACAAAGACAGTTTGCATTAGCCCCTTTGTTGTACCTTTATATTCCCCGTGATTTTCCAATTAAGCAGTTAGCAGGCCCAGCCTTGCTTAGTCTCCGTGGTCTCATATCAAACAGCAGGTATATCCACAAAAAGGCTGATGTTACCTTTACATTATGCTATAAAGTGCTCAGGCCAGCTAAACCTTATATGAACTTTGTAATGGAGTGAGCTCTACGGAAACAACCACTCACTCAATGCCGACCAATAGCCCTTAGATACGACTAATCATCTACTCCAGTCAGGTCCGCTTGGTGGGGGGTTGGTGTGAGGGGTTGGGGAGTAGATATTGGGCATCAGAGTGTGAGTCCTGGCCGCTCTGCTTTGCCCACCTCTGATTGAGATTCAGTGTGTGAGCTGTGATCGATCGGCCTGATGGAAACTACAGCTGTTTAGTTATTCTGTGCATCGCAGAGGCCGGCCTGTCGTTGTTGTCAGCTGTGTACTCCCACTCACACATTCAGAGGCAGCCCTGGAGCTCAACATGTGGAACGGACTACTGCCACATACAGATACATACCATATCGGAATTTCTTTATGGAGCTATTTTATGGAGGTTAACCAAATACTGAATATGCTACTTTTTCCCTTTAAGGTCCTATGTTACACATAATTGACTTTTGTGAGCTTTAAGCCATGTTGTAATGTTGTTACCGCCTCAAAAACATACATGGAGTTGTTTTGTTTCATTCACACATGTTTGAGTAACCCTGCAGTATTAGTCTGTCTACATCTCCAAACTCTAAATGCTCTGTTCCACCTTGTGATGTCATCAAGCGGTAGTGTTAACAGCTACCTTTTAGTTCTTGTTCAGTACCACCTTAATGGAACCACAATGGAGTCCTTGTCCAAGCCCCAACCCTAAATAAATTGATAGTTTTGTTTCCGGAAGGGCATCTGATGTAGCCAGGCTGGTGCCACCTAGTGCTTTCACTCAATTTTATTTCTCTCCAGTGACTAGGTGAGGAATCAGAATACAGTAGACGGTTTGCAAGAACCCCAGAAGTTGTAGACCGCACACTGGCCAATCAGTGAAGAGCTGTGAAGCCATAACGTCAAACTCTAGGGCCTGTCTGTGTCCTTTTTGTGGTACAGCACAACAGTAAACAAAGCGGTTGAGATGGATGTAGACGAAGACAGATATTCTGTGTTGGCAACGATTACCAAGATCGAGGATTTAAAGCCGGAACAAAGAGAATGTTTGGTGAATTTTATCAACGGGAAAGATGTTATTGCACTTCCTCCAATGAGATTTGGGAAAAGCTTAATCTCTCAGTTTGCCCCGTTAGCAGC